CCCCCCCCCAACCACCACATTTTGTTGCAAACTTTCCAACCAGAGCTAATACAAACTCACTGTTGCTGCAAGTACCACTGCTTCCAAAAATGTGTTTCTGTACTGCTTGATGGGTTAATATTCGCTAATTAATCTCAATTCATGTCATATAACAAATGTCTAATTTTTTGAGGGTGGTGGGTGGGTGAGCCCTATACGAATGCAGCTCTCTGCAATCAAGGATGATTTGTGGTGACAAATGCTCCTTACACTCGAGAATAAGAGGAACATACACACACGCACACTCTGTCTCTCTCTTTAATATTCGAACTACTGGACCAGTCTTCCTATCTATCAAAATATCTGTGTTATCAACCCTTCAGCTCCTTAATCCAAGATAAAAAAGAAAACAGGCATTTCATTTAAAGCAAGTTTAGCCCCCCTTCTTTTGTTCTTTTCTAACACTCACATGCCCTGTCCTTCTAGCTATCAGTCAAGCCTGAACATATCAAAACACGCCAGCACAGATGCTCTGGCCGAGCCAGGATGCGCCAGCACAAGGCTCTTGTGAGACTCGTGACGGGGTGTCCAAACCCGAAGCACCCCCACTGCAGCTAGATGCTTCTCCAAGTCTCTGGACCTTATTGGGGTTTCATTGTCCCAAATTTAAAACCTGATTCCAGCCCGTTTGTCTGAGACAAGCCACAGTCTTAGCCGCTCCCGTTCTGCATTCTGAGCAAGCAGAAAATGCTGCTAATTACGGGTAAACTTGGATTTTATGGACATCGCAAACACGGGGGGGGGTGGGGTGTGAGAAATAAATAAATATATGTGTAGATAATTTGATTTTCAGAATTTGGGAAGAAATTGTGATAATATAGCCTGGAAGCCACTTCTGTGAAACACTGAGTGACATATTGGAAACCGGGTTCAGATAGGAAAGCAACCCACCACCCTACTTCTATATGTGTATATACATCCTTTCTAAACCAGGGTGCTCTCCACACACCAAATACATCCTCGTGCACCACCTAAACACATTTAACAATTTTAACCCCACGCACACAGACGAAAAAAAAAACAAACCAAAAAACCCAAGGAGAAGAAAGCCTTCATCCTCCTCACCTCCCTTCCCTCCAACGGGTACCCTTTTACCAGTTTTAACGTCCTTCAGATCAGGTTTGGGGGTTTTCTGGGGTTTTTTAGCCATGCACATCTCCAGTACAAAGCACACTGCCACCAGTGACACCCCTTACCTTCGTGACAGCTATCCATACCCAGTCCTTGGGAAGAAGAGGGTAAATTGAGTTCCCTGCAATAACTCTGAGCATCGATATCCTTCACCACCTACATCTCTGAGGAAGGGTCGAGCCCCTTCTTGCTCCAATTGGGGAATCACGGCTCTGTAGAACACAGACACACTCCTTCCCTTCTCCTGCATCAAAAGCCTTCATGGAGAACAACTTCACCACCCAGATGATGCTCCAGGGTGGTCAACGTCAAGCACGGACACCTTTTACATCAAGCCAGCCGCTGGTTACGCACAACCTCGGCCATTTCTATGAGCTGCTGCACCTGGGTTGGTTTCCTGGATCCGTCCTCTGAGGCAGGGGAGGATTTTTTGGACAACTTGTGATTTCCAGCTACTACAAATTACTTTTAGCAGAGGGTGAGGGTGCAGCCCAACCTCCCAGCACCCTGCTCCAGTGCCACTTCCCTGAGTCTCCACCTCCTTGGGATGAGAGACCATCAAGCTTTGATGCTCACCTCCAGATTTCCAGCTGCTACCAACCAGCACAGCTCAGCCAAGGTCAGCGGGAGCGGGAGGCAAGGAAGGGCCATGGGGGAAAACTGCTAAATGGTAGTGGAGCAAGGGCTTTTCATGTAGAAAAAGTGAAATTCTGCCCTTTTGCGGGGGGCTGGTGTTCAAAAGCGATGGGAAGACGCATCTTAATTAAACAGTTTGTCCAGGTCTGCAAACCAATCACTCGCAGCTTTCAAAACCACAAAACAGCAATTAGTGGGAGGATTCCTGATGTCCCGGCACATAATGAAGCATGACAGTACACAAATAAAATAAGAACTAGAGAATTAATTACGGGCTAAACAAATTAATTACGGGTCCTCAATCAATGCCGACACAAGCGTAACCTCTTTCTCCTTACACCTTGGTGTGAAAATAGATCAACCCGGCGACAAAGACTTCCCATGGGCATCTCTCACTCAAACCCAGCCTCAGAGCTGCCTCCCGGGTCTTGTGCTCACCTCTAGTGCCCTCCTGGTTATAAAAACCAAAAGAAAGACGAAACTCACTAAAAATATATTCCAGAAAAATGTCAGGAAAACAACAGTAACGTCCACAGATCCCCTTTGTACAAGCAAAGTGCTCAGACACAAGATCGAGTGCAACCTACAGACCACAATTCCCATCACCCCCTGCTCTGCAGACAAGGTAAGCAGCTGTTTTTCTGGCAGAAAAAGGCAAAGAAACCCAGCAACTCGGGAACTGAAGGCTGGAGGGTCAGAGCAACCAGCTCTCTGTTAAAAAAAAAGGAGCAGAAAGACCGGAGAAACCGAGAGCAACAACTAGGGAGAGAGTCTCGGCATCCTCAAGCAAAGCTCTGAGGACGTGGTCCTCACACAGCAAAGGGAAAAGCTTAAAGGAAAGTTTGGCATTAACACAGTTTGAAAGGGACGTGCCACAGTGAGCAAATCCCCTTTGTTTCTGATTTCCTCCATGCATGGACAATTTTTGCACCATCTTTACAAACAAACAAGCTTACATAAAGAATTACCCTAACGCCACCGGCGATTTCTTCACGGCTAAAATAACTCATCGTTTGTTGTAACCACAGGCTTCAGCAAAGGCCGAGTCCAGGGTGTCCCTTTCCTCAGACACCGAGCAGTTAGCTGATAAAATGCAGAAGGGTTTATTTTGTGCTCCAGCAAGTCAGCAGCAGCCTTAATTCTTGACACATTTTGGTCTTTTTTTAATCAGTGGCTCTTAGAAATCTGCATATTCAGAGCAGGAGCATTTCATTGCATTTTTATTGTAAAAAAAAAAAAAACCCTAATGCTACCACTTGGAAGACTTGATTTGATGTGATTCAAATCAGATCTTACAATTTAAATGCTCTCAAATTTGGCTGGTCAAGGACCAGTCAACGCTGATTATTTTTTAAACTGCTTGAGAGTGGAAAGTGCAGCTTGATAAAGCCTTGGGAGCTGCCTCCGCCAGCAGCTTTGCATCATTTTCCTGCCAAAATGCTGCTTTGCACCATCCACCATCCCGTCACTGTCTGCACCGACGCAGGGACCCGCCGCTGAGGGGAGACAGCAACGATGGCGTAAAGCAGGAAGGCAGGAGTTAGGGGCCCATCCCAGTTGCTTTTAGCCACCGGTAGATTTACAGCCAATGCTTTGAATATAAAGAAAAGGTGTTATTTCTTACCGACAGCAGGGAATGGCACAAACCTCTGGATCAAGAGACGAGTGGCGGGGGTAAACTTGTTTGCTCTCTGAACCAGAACATTAAGGCCCACCTTTGAATAGAAAAAACAAAACACAGAAGCAAAAACATTTAGCTACAAGGAGCAGGGTAGATGCCACAGCTTGCAGACAGCAGCAGAGCTCTTCAGGGGGACAGGCTGGGGTCTCTCCCCACGCAGAATTGTTTGAGAACTAAACCCCCCCATACATCGCACAGTTTAGCTGTGTTGGGTTCAACTCTTTATTCAATGAAGGGTTGAACCCAACTGTTGGGTTGAACACAACTGTTGGGCTTAAATGAAGAGTTGAACCCAACCATTGAGTTGAACCCGATCACCGGGTTTAAAGGAAGAGTTGAATCCAACTGCTGAGTTGAACCCAACCATCAGGTTTAAAGGAAGGGTTCAACCCAACCATTGGGTTGAACCCAGCCATTAAGTTTAAACCCTTTCCAGCTACAAGACAAGCTGGAAACCACTGCAACATTGTTCAGTCCTCCTGGAAATGCCTTTAGCTGCATTGTCACCCAGTTCACTGGCATTTTCCCCATTTAGCACAAAATCATCGGGGCTGGGAGTCCTCACCCAGCTGGGAAAAAAGCCAAATATCAGGGGTGGTGGTTGGGCCAACACAATACATTCCTCCTCCCAGGGGCTGTTCAAACCACACCACCCCACTCCAATGCAAACATTTGGGCTATAAAGGAGCTATTAATAGCAACAAGAGATAGCAGGCAGTTTATTATAACCACAGATCATTTTTTTGTTGCCTCCTCCAACACTTGAATAATGCAGAGCTCTCCACAGTTTTGCAGGGATCTAAGTCATTGTGTATGTTAATATAAACGGCACGGAGGAGAGTGGCTGCCTTGTCAGCCTCAGCGTGGTTGGATAGTAGTGATAGTCGGAGAATTTCCATCAAAATTTGTTTCAAGCAGAACTGGGGTTATTAATTAAACAACCCCACTTGCAGGGAATGACTTCTGTCTTCAAATTACTCTCCCTCACAACATTTTCTCTTTGTCATCCAAAAAAACGCCAAAGGCGCAACCAAAACCCAACAGCCCCAAACTGGGAATTTTAGGCCGAAAATGGAAGTCTTTAGCAATGCCTGGCCAAAAAGTTTCCAGCCAAAAATGCAGCAAAATTAAAAAAAAAAAAAAAAAAAAAAAAAAA